CCCCAGCTCCTGAAAACAGCCCAGGGACAGTTCACAGCACAGGGTACCAGTCTGGGCACCAAGTTTATACCCACCAGTCACTACAGACGGGGTATGGCCCACAGAGGCACCGGCGAGGAGGGCCGCGGTCCTCACATGGGATCCTCGAGATCCTTCCAGGGGGTCCAAGAGAACAAAAGTGTTTTTCTAATAACACTAAGATGGTATCTGACTTTGACGCCTTTGTTTGCTCCTAAGGATATAGTTTTCCAGAAGATGCTCGATGTGATGACATCATCATCAAGGGCATGTTGGACTGTGTGTTCTTGTTTGAAAATGTCTCGGTATTGCTGACATGGTAAATAATGAGCTCCCATGAACAAGAACCCTTTGGGGTCCTCAGTAATTGGAGTACAAAGAGGTCCTCAGGTCAGGGTCTGGCACTGCCATAGGGAGCAATGGCGGCAGTGGGTCGTGCTCACGCTCAGTCGCATCGCAGAGCCGTCAGCGTCCCTCTGCGGACCCTCTCACCCTGGCCCCCCGCCCCAGGATGCCCTCAGCTGATGGCGGAAATCTGACTAGTGAGATGCCTGAAAACGTCAAGAACATCTTTCAGGACTCTCGCCCCCTCCGCCTGTCAGCCTAAGTGGAAACCCTGCACTAAGCGCTTGATTATATGTGTTTTCTCACTTGAGTCTCACAGCAACGTAGATGTGACCATCTTGCCGTGCAGACAGGAAACGAAGCCTCGGAGGGTGAAGTCCCCCCGCCAATGTTACCCGCTGAGTGCCAAGGTCAGGACTGGCATCTTGCTCTTACTCCAAGGCCCGGGGGTCTCCCCTTGCGCCAAGAATAGAAGACAAAGCTGGGGGTTCAGGCTCCCCCCCAGCAACAAACAGCTCACAGGATACACGGGGGCGGGGGGAAGAGAGAAAACAGGAGAACCACTCACGCAATTTCCAGGCCGTCTTGGTGACCACCGGGGTGGCCATCCTCCAGCTGTCTGGCACTCAAAGCTCCACCCACAAAACAGACGGCTTTCCTCCAGGGGTGGGGGTGGATCCCCCCCAGATCCGCCAATCAAGTCGGCAGGGAGTCCCCACACATCCAGGCAGAGGGAATGCCTTTCTCCGGGACCAACTCTTCGCTTTAAATCATCCACGGCAGCAGCCTGTCCGCGCCCGTCTGGATCCTGGATCATGGAATGTCAGGCTCGGGCCATCTCAGCTCAACACTGGGCTGGAAGGCAAACAGAGAGGATGGCTTTTTAGGAAACACTTACAGGGCAGCTGGGAGGGGGTGCGGGGGGGCGACCCTGATTTACAGACTGCAGCTCCCTGCATCCCTGAGGCCACTGGATACAGACAGACAGACACCCACCAAAGCCAGGAGCTGCACTGCAAATTGGGTTTGAGAAGCAGGAGCGGAGGCACCTCAGACAAGGTGCCCTGGAACCCAGGGGAAGGGAAGGTCCTCCCAGAGGCCAGGATGATGGGAGGAGCTGGCTGCTGGCTGTAGATGAGACAGATTTCTGAGAGTCACTGTGTGGTCTGACCGATGCAGAGGGGGTGGAGTCAAGGCTAAGCTGGGGGGCCCATGAGAGGCACCCCGGAGACGGGTGCTGAAGTCTTCTCCGGGGAGAATGTCAAACGGGGCCCCGAGGATCCAACCCCCCGAGTTTGTGACAAAGGAACCAACCCTGGTCCCCCAAATTCCCCAGGACGGTGCTGGGCACGAGCCGGTATGACTCCTCCACCCTAAAAGGCCGCCCGAAGATGCCTCCGACCTGCTTCCTCCCAGCCCTTTCCCCAGGAAACCTCTCCTCCGCACCCCTGCGCCCCTGGGTCCCCCAGCCCTGCCCCTCTCGTCCTCCACCCCTCCTCCCTCCTCCCGCGCCCCCCATTCACACACATCTTGTCTCCCGAGCTCCCTAACGTGGCCCCTGCCTCGCCAGACCCCCTTTCCTCCGCGTTCCCCTCGGCCACCAGGATCCCCATTCATTCACTCTCCTGCTTCCGGCGTCCCTAGTCACCCCCCAGCCTCCCGCGGACCCCCAGCTCAGCTTCCGGCCTCCCCGGTTCTGCCCTCAGGCCTCCACCCCGGCCCCGCCCCTCCCGAGGCCAACGCTG